TTGCTAGGGGCTGGGGTGCTATGCACAGATCCACTCTCAAATCTCTGGGACTGCAAGCTTCCAGCTGCCATCTTCTCCCTTGGACCACTTATGAATGAGGGCTTTATATGGCTTTGCTTTCCTTAGGTGTTGAAGCAGAAGTTCTCTAGCCTTTTCAGGATTTCTCATAAGTTTCAAACAACTTTGGGTGGTTTGGGGAAAGGAAAATGCTAGACCTCACCTGGGATAAAGGAGAAAATTATCATCCATTCATCTCTGAAGGCATTCCCTTTTTCTTTGCCAAAGTGAGGACAGTTTCTTGGACACAACCCAATCTAATCTGAACTTTATGCCGATCCTCTGGGAATTTACCTTGGAATTCCAGCTGAGGTAAAATTGGGATTGCAGGGCCACAAGTCAGGTGGCTTTAGATGTCCTAGGGGAACTAGTAGTCTTTGCTTTGTGAATTCCTTACTGATCTTTTAGGAATTTTTCTCTTCATTTGGCTTGGGTCAGTCCACTTGAGCTAGAGTAGCTCTATATCAGAAAGGTACAGGAGCCGAAATGTCCTAGCTGGGAAGATGGCTGTGCAACCCAAGAGGAGCCCCTTAACCTCCAGGCCTCTGAACCCACCTTGATGAAACAGAAACAGAAGCCATAAACTCTATGAAAGGGAGAGAAGGTATTTCCTGTTATTTTCAGCTCCATGCACAGTCTAGATGGTTTTATTCATCTACTCCCAAGGGAAAAGAAGTTTCCTTGAGATGGGAACTTAAGTGTCTGGATTAACCATTCATGGTGAATAAGTGTAAAAAAAAAAAAAAAGTGCTTACCGGTTCTGTTTATTTGGTCCTATATAGACACAGCTTTTAAAAATGTACCTCTTTATAAACTGTCCTTGTTTCTTTTCCAGCCCAGTTGGAAGCTGTTCTTCATACCAAGACAAAACCATCCCTATTGATTTGCTTTTCAATGCTTTCTTTAGTTTCTATTTTGGGTTGAGAGTAAGTACCTATTGAAAGTGGGAGTAAACAGACCAACACAAGTGCAGCATAAAGAGATCTGTGTGTAACCTTGGTTATACAATCAGCCTATGTTTTCAGGCTTTAAATTTAGAGGGCCTGTGTTGTAAATTGTTAAATGTATACTAAGACATAATAACTCTCTTTCATGTACCAGAAACTAAACCAGGCCAAATACTTCAACACAAATGAAAATGACTCCTTTTTAAATATGATCATCCTGTCAAACTGTCTTCCTTATCGGCTTCCGACCTACCACTGAGAAAGCTTTCCTAATAATCACAAGTTAGCAGAACCTGAATAACAAGCCTCTGAAAATGTCATTGGCTCCACTGATGGCATATGTATCACACAACTATGTAAAATACTTGTATATCTTTGTTTCATTTTTGTTACACCCATAACTTTAAATACTTCTCTCATTCCACAAGCAATTATTGAGGACTCATCTTAGATCTAGATTTGTATGTATTTATCTATCCCATGTTTGTATGACACTTTTATATATATATATATATATATATATATATATATATATATATAGAGAGAGAGAAAGAGAGAGAGAGAGAGAGACACACACACACACACACACACATATGCATATACTGGCAGTGCCAAAAAATACATACACATTTTAAGAGATGTTATCTATGCTCAAGCAGTAGTTCACTGTAATCAGAAATGTCTGGATGCTGACGGTGACCACTTTGAGCACCTCTTGTAATTACAGAAGTCAGACATGACTTGTATTCATCTTTTGTTATCTGTATATATTGAGTATTACAATTTTAATAGTTTTCCTTTCTTAAAATGTGTATACACTTTTTTGTCACCCTCAGTACATATAATGTATTTTTATGACCATCCTTCAGAACTTACTCTGACCACATGACCATCAAAATCTTTTTACAGCAGACTCGCCCTTCTGGAAAAGCTTGCTTTCTTAATCTAAATTGCAAAGCTCATAAACACAGGTCTTGGCCAACCAAACTCCTAGACACCTGTACCTTTTCCACTGAAGCCCATCCTAAATGATGTATCCTCATTGCTTACAAATAGGCTGTTTTATTTATATAATTATATATATCAGGAGTGCCAAAAAAATGTATACACATTTTAAGAAAGAAAAAACTATTAAAATTGTAATACTCAATATATACTGATAACAAAAGATGAATATAAGTCATGTGTATACATTTTTTGGCACCCCCAGTATATGTCAGGAAGTTCTAGGAATAGTAGCAAGGTCAGAGTGTTTATCCTGAAGTGTGTGAGTTAAAATCCAGTAAGTAAATGCATTCATGTTCATTTATTGAACACCTACTAAAGGAACAATTGTTATATCTACATAAATAAATATATATATATATATAAACATATGTTCACCTATATAGTGATATAAATATATATAATAGAATGAGATCAAATCTTCAATTGATAAATTAAGTGTAGATGAATAAAGCCACTCTTGTATCCACTTTAATATTCTTGAGGGTAACAGAATTTGGGGTCTTTTGTTTCCATTTCATAGTTTTTAGCTGCTAATGACAAGATCAAGTTCTGGTTGGAGATGAATTCAATTGTGGACATCTTTACCATCCCACCAACCTTTATTTCTTATTATTTGAAGAGTAATTGGTTAGGTGAGTATATTGTGGGAATCAGGAGCAATCTCTAAGAAAAGCCTCAATAGTCATCCATAAGTATACTTCATTTTTCTTTAATGCCTAAATGCCATTTAAAAAAATTTCCTCACTGTAGTTGTATGGTTTTGTAATGTATTTTCAGAACCATCCCCCCCCCTTTTTTTTAACCTCAATGCCTAGCAATGTGATGTACCTGATGCACAGCAAGTGTCAGTATTTGTTTATTGTAACTGGACTGGGTCATTCACAACTTGAGGTGCAAGACCCCAGCATCCTACTCTCCTGTGGTACCTTTATGCTGCCAACCCACATTGGCTGGGAGAGATGAAAAGCCTCCCTTGGTCTTTAAAATCCATAAGTCATCATATCCAGACATGTGGTGACATGTTAGAAATTTATTTAAGTAGTTAATTAGTCTTCAGGATGGACATATTGACATTACATGGCTGTTACATGATTTNGTTTTGTTTGTTTGTTTATTCTGTTCTTTAGATTCCACATACAAGTGAATTCACATTGCATCTGTCTTTCTCTGTCTGACATACTCCATTCAGCACAATACTGTCCAGGTCTATCCATGCTACACAGGTGGCAAGAAGCCATTCCCTTCCATTGCAAGAAGCAATATTCCCTTGTATATGTACTACCTCCTGTTTATCCATCCTCCATCAACGGACACCCAGTCTGCCTCTACATCTTAGCCATTGTAAACAATGCAGCAATGAACATATGGATGCAAAAGCCCCCTCAAAATAGCGCTTTGGGTTTCTTCAGATAAATACCCAGAAGTAGGATTACTGGGTCCTTCTTTGTCTCTTGATACAGCCTTTGTTTTAAAGTCTATTTTGTTTGGTATGAGTATTGCTACCCCAGCTTTTTGTTTGTTGCCATTTTCATGAAATATCTTTTTGTATCCCTTTACTTTCAGTCTGTGTGTTTCTTTCATTCTGAAATGAGACTCTTGTAGGGAGCATATGTAAGGGTCTTATCTCCTAATCCATTGAGCCATCCTATCTTTTGATTAGGGCATTTAATTTATTTACATTTAAAGCAATTGTTGGTAGATATGTAGTTATTGACATTTTATTATTCATATCTCTTTTTTATTATTATTTTAAAGAATCCCCTCTAACATTCCTCATACTGGTTTGGTGGTGATGAACTCCTTGAGCTTTTTCTTGTCTGGGAAGTTCCTTATCTGTCCTTTGATTCTAAATGATAGATTGCTGGGTAGAGTTAGAGTAGCCTTGGTGGTAGGTCCTTGCTTTTCATCACTTTGAATATTTTATGCCAATCCCTTCTGGCCTGCAAAGTTTCTTGAGAAATCAGCTGACAGGCTCATGGGAGCTCCCTTGTAGGTAACTAACTGCTTTTCACTTGCAGTTCTTAAGATTCCCTCTTTGTCTTTAGCCTTTGGTATTTTAATTATGAGATATCCTGGAGTGGGCCTCTTCAGGTTTATCTTGTTTGGGACTCTGCACTTCCTGGACTTGTATGTCTGTTTACTTCACCAGGTTAGAAAAATTTCCCATCATTGTTTCTTCAAATATGTTTTCAGATCCTTGCTGTCTCTCTTCCCCTTCTGATACCCCTATGATGCAAATGTTGATATGCTTGATGTTGCCCCAGAGGTCCCTTAAACTATCTTCATTTTTGTGGATACATTTTTTTTTTCTGTTCTGATTGGGTGTTTTCTGCTACCTTATCTTCTAAATTGCTGATTTGATCCTCTGCTTCATCTAATCAACTGTTGATTTGCTCTAATATAATCTTCATTTCAGTTATCGCATTCTTTATTTCTGACTGGATCTTTTTTGTGGTTTCTGTCTCCATTTTTATGTTTCTTATCTCTTTGTTGGCATTATCTCTGAGATCACTGAGCATCTTACAGCCTGATTTGAACTCTGTGTCTGATAGATTGCTTGTCTCCATTTTGTTTAATTCTTTTTCTGGAGCTTTGTTCTGTTCTTTCATTTGGGACATGTTTCTTTGTCTCCCCATTTTGCCTGCTTCCCTGTGTTTGTTTCTATGTATTAGGTTGGGGTCTTATGTCTCCCAGACTTAGTAGAGTGGCCTTGTGTAGTAGGTGTGCTTTGGGGCCCAGTGGTGCAGCCTCCCTAGTCACCTTAGTGGGTGCTCCAGGTGTGTCCTTTATGTGAGCTGTGTGCACAGTCCTGTTGCAGTTGAGCCCTGGTTGTTGATTGCACATCCATGGGAGGGATTGCCCCTCGGGCTGATTGGTTGTGAGGACTGGCTGTGACTGCAGTGGAGGAGCTGTGGTGCAGGGGCTGGCCCTATGGAGCAGGATTCACTTTAGCAGGGCTCTGGTGCCTGTCCAGCCTGCTTTCTGGGTGTGTCATCTTTGCAGGTGGCCTGGTGGTGATCTGGCTTGCTCAGAAGCTAGCTACCAGGTGTCTCAGCTCCAGAGACTCCTGAGAGGGACCCCACTGCAGGCCAAGTTTGACTGCCGCTTGCGCAATGCCTGGGGCCACCTGGCATGAACTACAAAGCAATCTGCAGATGGCCGCCACCTGCGCTGGGCTTGAGAGTGCCTCGAGAGGACAAGCCCTGACCCAAATCCAGCTGCCTCTAGTGGGCTTAGGGCTGCTCAGCAAGAGGTATGGGGCACACCAAGGCCAGATGCTGCTTGTTTGGAGTTTGTGAACCTTTAAGAAATTTTAGGAAAGTCCTCAGCATGAACCAAGATGGGCTGTTTCTATGGAAAAGCCAGTGGAAATGCCTTGGGTGTGCTAGAAAGTTGGGTGGGAGTGGGGTCTCATCAAATCACCAGGGTGGGGCTATCAAATGGTGTTAGCCACGTTGATGGAGATTCAGATATGATGGCACCCATGTCTGAACACTGGGACAGAGGAGGGCTCAACAAAGGTACAATAGATTTGGCCAGCACTTCTGTCTGGGAGAAAGGTTCCCCTCCAGCCCTCAACCTGAAGCCAGACATCTCAGTTTGTCCCCATATGTCCCTGGCACCTTTTGAGCTATTGCCCCTGTGCTGAGCTCAGAGTGAGTGAGTCCATCAGAGAGTAAGTCTGTGCGTGGACCCTTTAAGAGGAGCACCTGGGACCCTAGCCACCCTCCATCTCACTCAGCCACAATCTCTGCTGGTTCTTACAGCCAGAAGTTATGGGGACTTCTTTCCCTGTCACTGGAACCCTGGGCTAGGAAGCTTAATGTGAGGTTAGGATTCCTTGTTCCTCCCAGGGAGACTGTTGCAGCTGAGATATGTCTTCCAATTTATAATGGTCATACCATTCTACATCTCTGCCCTGCTTACCAGTCTCGAGGTGGCTTCTTCTGTATGTCCTTAGAAGTAGGGCTTCAGTTCAGCTAGACTTCAGGTGATTCTCAATGGTGGCTGTTCTGTAGTTTAGTTGTAATTTTAATGTGGTTGTGAGAGGAGGAAAGCAGTGTTTACCTGCTCCACCATCTTGACAGGAAAGCCCTGTAAGTGCTGTTTCAATGTCTTCTAGCACTTAAGGCCACTTGAGACACTAAGCTCTTGTCTCTCAGCTCCAAATTCAAGCTCTATTTTCTGCTTTGTGATGTGAGGCCAGGACTCAGCAATTAAACATCTCTTTTGCCAGCTCTCTGATGCTCATAGTTAGGCTCTGTTAATAGTGGGTACAAGAGGAGATAGGAAGCCTAGAGGAGGAGAAGCGAATTGCCTCTCCTGTGTTTTGCATCTGTTTTTTTAAGCCTCACCTAATCAATGGCTTTTCACTCCTGTGGAAGTACTTAGATCCTGTTTCTAGTTTCTCCCCAACACTGCCAGAACCAGGCTCACAGCATCTCCTCAGAGGTGGTCAAGTNAAGCTATTATACCTTTGAGCAGCAGTACTTCTAAAGTTTGAAGCAGTTTGGACTTACGTTACCTTCTCAAAATCTCCATGCCTCTGTGTTCTCACTAAAAGCACTAAATGTTACATACAGGCCAGGTGGATTTCCTTGCTAAATGTTTATGCATGATGGAGAAGTTAAGATCGGAAGCCTCTATGCTTGTGTGACAGGTGTCCCTGCCTGAACACCACAGAGATTTTTGAACTCTATGGCTTTATTTAGTAGACAGGAGCTTGTCTGATCCTATGCACTCAAAGATTCTCGTATGAGGTTAGCAATATGACACTACCTTTCTGTGATCTACTCAAAATTTCATTTTGGAAGCCAATTCTGGATTCCCAAGACCCTGTGTTTCGTACTATTACTTTAGACAATGCAGCAATCTATTAACTTTATTTTATGATGACACATATATTTTAAAAGCAATATAGTATCAGGCTAGTGGGTATCATAGCAAAATCTAAGCTTTTTGAAGATGTGTGTGTTTTAGAGCTGCTCACAGTAATGTGTATATGAATCAAGCAGAGGCTCTTGTAACACTGCAGATCTGTAGATCAGGGCTTAGGACTGGGGTTCTGCATTTCTAATACACTCCCAAGTAATGTATCACTGCTTCAGGTCTGCGATCCACATTTGGAGTAGTGAGATTTTAGAGGATGAGGTATTTGTGTTGTTCTGGAATGTGTCAGAACCCAACAGCTCTTTGTCTTTCTTCTTCTAGCAATTCAGTGAAGTTTTCCAAACTGTTGGCAATCGTTCTCAGTACTTGGTTCACGGCTGCAGGATTCATTCACCTGGTAAGCATCTCATCAAAATTGCTGATATTTCCAGTGAGCATGAAGGTCTTTACCAAATGGAGGTGATACTCCTGAACGCCTGTCTCCATTATTATAACTAATGCGAGGTTTATCTTTTTATTTCCATTTTCTGGGTTTTCTCCACCCTCATATTTCTGACAAATATGTATCTCCTACACTCAAGGTATCTCTGTTGCTTCTTCCAGCTTTCAAAACTTGCTCTTAGAAAAGGATCTAATAAGCTTACCCTTCAAAGGTATAAGCAATAGGTAAAATGTATCACTATATTTTCATAAGGGTTCTAGCATTTAAAGAAATAATATAGAGTCCAATAAATGAAGCCAAGGAGAGAATTTCACACTTATAGAAGCTGGAGAATTGTCATGGAGGTGTGGCTGAGTTGCAAAGGGGAGCTTTGGGGGTTTTCTTGGTTCTCCTAAAATTGATCTCTATATATAGCTGCCTCCTTTGCCTAGAGGAAAGGCTAGTTTTTAGCCCACATTAATCAGCAATATAATAAATGGATTTCAACAATAGGAAAGAAACTCCTAGACTTTAGTGCTTGAGGACAGTTGAGGAGCAGTCATTAGAAAATGCAGAAATTAAAGTAAGATGCTAAAAAGACTGCACAGGCCTTTGAGAAAAGCAAAATAGAACAGAAAGAATATATAACAGAAGTCTTTTTCACNTTGTTTTCATTATCACAAGGTATGGTTTTACAATTATCTGTGGGAGATTTTCTTCTTAATTTAGTTCCAAATATCATCCTAAACCTAAGCAATCTTTTTTTTTTTTTTTTTTTTTTTGGCGGGGGGTGGGGTGGGGGAGTAGTGGGTATGCTGTTAATTGTATAATAAACTATGTTTCTCTGTTGCTGTGATGGCTAGAATATTTAGAATCAAAATTATGGCTCATCATTAGTAAATGTATCTATTTTTTTTTCAGGTAATCTAGCACTTTATGTGTCTTTATATTGTGCCTTAACTCTTTTCTGTAAATATTCAATCTTTTCTGTGATTGTGGAATCCTTTCTGTAGATAAGTAAATAAACCCTTAGCTAGAGCAATAGTTGCAATCTTAGTATCCAGGACAACTAAATGAGCAAAGGAAGCATCACAATTCATTTGGAAATGAGAAAGAATATTTCAAAAATGATACTGGGAAAATTGATTGTGCTGGATTTTGTTAATTTTTGTGATGTAATGTTACTTCTAGGGAAAAAAAGAGAAACATAAAACATACTAGAAATGATAGGTCTCTTACGTCATACTTTATGTTAATGTTAAAATTGTTTATGTTAAAAATAAGATTATATTAAAAAAACCTTCTGTATCTTCATCCATTTTTTCTATTTCATTTCATTATATCATATTTTATATTTAATACACCATCAAGCATCAGGAACTAATTTTTTTTGTATAGTATGAAAGTATGCTTTAGTTTACAGATCTTTATCATATGAATAAAGAAAACACTGGTAGGAAATACTAACAATATTCACATTGATTGTTTCTAGATGATTACATTGTTTTTTTGTGAACACGGCAAAATATTCAAAAAGTATTAAAGGGTACATATTAAAAAATTAGTTTCTTTCTTACCCCATCTCCATCCACTGCTACCTACCAGTTTCTTCCTCCCAACCTGCAGATTCTCAGCAACATTGTAAGATGCATTTTCTTTAAGTGTTTAGGCAACCTAAGACAGCTCTTCTCCCCCAATTAGTTGTATAAAATTTAAATTTTGAAATAATAAAATGCATTATTTCTTGTGGCAGTTCGTTTACTGTAGTAAAATGAATGACTAATGGAGCCACTGGAGGTAAAACTGGATCTGAATTCAGGTTGGTCCACTTACCTTGTGTCTTCAATTGGAAGGACGGGGAGGGTGTTTCAACAGATTTCCAAAAGGCCAGCAGGGACCTGGTAGAAAGGGCCACCCTTGAGGATGGGTCCCACCCAGGCTCACGATTTTTCAGTGCTTGGTGGAAGGAAGTGAAGTTTTCTTAGACAGTTGACTGTTCTTCTGCAGAAGTAAAGTGGTACTTCTCACAATGTTTCCTTTTCACAGCTTCCTGAGTCTTTGCCATGAGGATTCTGGCCAATAATTTTTTTCCCTCCCAGACTGGTCACTCAGTCTTCAAACACAAAGTTTATGTATTTTCATCGCTGGGGCAGCGGTGAGCTGAATCTTCCTGAGGTCTCGCTCATACTTCCTCCTCAGTCAGTTCTGCCAAGGGCTTCAGGTCCTATTCCTCGTCAACCTGGGGTCTCTGTATTCAGGACCCTGGCGGCTCCACCTGGCCTGGCTCAGCCTGGAAACCTCAGGACTGCATTGCGCATGCCCAGCGACAGGTCCTACCACGCCTGCGCAGACTTTACCTTGGCCAGTCACGTCGGCTGGCCTAATCTTGCTAGCTTTTTCAGGTGATTTGATTTATAAAGATTTTTTTTCCTCAGAGTACTTCTTTGGCCATATCTCATAGACTTTGGCAAGTAATGTTCTTATTTTTATTACTGCATAATGCATCTTTAAGTTGTTTTAAATTTAAATTTTAATTTCTTGAGACATGATCTATTGAGAGGAATGGTGTTGCTTTTATTTTCTTCTGGATAGAGTGGCTATCATTTTTACATTGGTAAAATTTATGGACCAAGAATATCGCTGCCTTAATGATTTCTAGTTTGTGGAATTTATGGGGAAATTCTTTGTTGCCTCGTACATGATCAATTTTTATTACTACTTAATGGATTTTTTAAAGAATATGTGCAGTATTATCTATTTGATATATAAGCACTATTAATTATGCTATATGTATTTTCCATATTCTTAATTATTTGCTGAGTGATTGAAACGGGCATGTCAAAAATTTTTCATTTATGATTTTATAGTTTTATCAAATATCTTGCATTTTCAACAGATTTGGAATTATGTGTTTTATATAACATCAATTAGTTCATAGAGTTACCTATTATATCCTCTTGGATGATTGTGCCTTTAATCAATATGAAATACCATTTTTGTTGCATTTAGTGGTTCCTTTTTTTGTTTTTATTTTGGCTGGAATATTTTAGAATACAATGTTAGTATGTAACATTGTTTTTATTTTATCCATACTTCATTGGGATGTCTTTGCCCAGCTCTCTTTCAATCTTTCTGTCAAATGTGTCTCTTATAAAATCATGTAGTTGAATTTTGTCCTTTTATCAACTTAAGAATACATTTATTTGTTAATTTACCAGGGAATTTAATTATTTTCCTTATGGTGATCTATTTTATTGGTCCTTATAATATTTAGAGATTGAATTTGCTGCATAATACGGTGTCTAATGCCAGTTGCTTAAAAAAAAAGAAAGTGGGAGGTCTATTAGTTAAAAAGGAGAGAATGGGTACTGAGTTCACAACTAAAAGCTGTCACAGTCTTAGTTTCTTATCTTACTACAGAGGCAGCATTACATGGTAAATGTAAATTTTGAGAGATATGGACTCAAACATTGGCTTTTCCATCTCCTACTGTTAATCTTGGGGAAGTCAATTTTTCTAAATCGGGTTTCATCCATATAATGTGCGTAACATCCTTTAAAGTATTGTAAGGAGAATTATATATTATATGATAATGCATGTAAACCAATCACAATACATTAAGCACTGATCATTGGCTGACATTTCCATTTCTGATTTGTTAGTTGTGATTACTTTTATTTATTTCCTTGCATCTTTGAATTTGATAATTCCATTTTCAATAGCATATCTTAGTTATATTAGATAAATCTAATTCAAAACAAACTTTCCATTATATATTTCTCTATGTATCTTTACATGTTTTATATCTATACCCTGCTCTTGCATGGGATCTTTGGTATGTCTTTCCTCCACATCACCCCTCCTTCCTTCCAAAAATTGTTGAACTAATCAGAACATTCAGTTCTAGATTATAATTGTGGCTTATTTCTTTGTTTTTAGCAATATATTTTTACTTATTTTGCTTTAGGGTTAAAAATTACACTATTTTTACCTTCCCTTAGGTATCGCTTTTTCTTACATAACATACTTTATCTTTCTGAATTTTTTCTTTTTTTTTTCTTTAGTATTTTCCATATTCATTTGCAAGGGAAAGCATGAGTGGTATACATTTTGAATCCTTGAACATCCAAAAATATTTCTTATCTTGCTCTCAGAAGTGAACAACAATTTGGTAGAGAATTTTTGGCTTATAATCCTTTTTTCTCTGAAATCTTTATAAATGCTGTTTCTTTTCTTTCCTTTTTTTTTTGACATTCCATATTAACTTCAAGTGTACAGCATAGTGGTAGGGCATTTATATAATTTAAGAATTGATCCCTCTGACTAGTCTAATACCCACCTGGCACTATACATAGTTATTACTATATTATTGACTATATTCCCTGTGCTTTACCTTACATCCCTATGACTACACAGTAACAACCAATTTGTATTTCTTAATCCCTTTCCCCTTTTCACCCACCACTCCAACCCCCCCCCTCTGGTAACCATCAAATGTTCTCTGTATCTATGAATTTGTTTCTGTTTTGTTTGTTTATTTTGTCTGTTCTTTAGATTCCACATACAAGTGAATTCACATTGCATCTGTCTTTCTCTGTCTGACATACTCCATTCAGCACAATACTGTCCAGGTCTATNCAAGAGAGTCCTAAGCCCTAAACAATCACATATAAAGTCAGGCTAGCTTCTGAGGAGAAGGCCCAGTCAGGTCTTAGCTACTCTAGTCACATGGCTGAAATAACGATCAAGTGTGTAAAGTCATTTTGGTCATTCCAGCTCCCAGTCAAGCTCTCTGATTAACGTACCCACATGAATGGCCATAGTCAATACTGTATGGAACAGAAGAATTACCTTGCTGAGACAACAACAAAATCATGAGAAATAATATATTGTTGTTTTAGGTCAATAAGTTCTGGAATGGTTTGCTTTGCAGAAAGAGATAACTGAGACAAAGGGATAACTGGTACTGAAAGTGGGGTGCTATCATAACAATAACCAAAATGTGGTCTTTTCCTTGGAACTAGTGGTAGGTGGAGGCTGAAAGGGTTGCATGGATACTCTTAGTGGAGGCTGGGAAAACCAATGAAGAAATTGCTGTTGGGTACTGGAGGAAGAGCAGACTTTTGGTAACAATGTCACCAAAAGTAACATGGAAGATAGAAAATGTAACCAGTGAAATTGTGAAACTGGCTACGAAAATTTCCTGAAAGAATATTGAGTGTCATTTGCTTTTGTCTAATTATGTATGATGAAGTGAGAAAATTGAGCTGAAGAGGAAACTCTTTTGTTTTCAAGCAGAATGTAAAGGAAATATAGAGGCCCTAGAACAGTCATCTCTAGCTGGCCAAAAAAAAGTCAGAGGAAAATGACCTCAGGAGAAAAAAAGTCAAATCGAGGATACAATCTATAAAATATGACCTTAAAGTCAAAGGCCTTGATTCAATCAAGGATGAAGCTGTTAGACCCTTAGTTAACATCTCAGAAAGATTTAAGGTGATGATTTATAGATGCTTCTCTTAGTCAGCCAAAGGGCTTGTAAGAAACTGAGGACATTCTTCCAGAATTCTGACATTCTCAAAGTAGGAGATCTGTCACTAGAGGAATCATGGATATGACTTGGTGGTCATGATATGAATCTGAATAATATATACAGAAACTTGTCAACACCTTAAAGGTATTTTACTGGTAAAAGTACTGCCAGCTTGGAGTAAAAGGGACAGAGAGAGTTCAAAATGAAAAAAATTTAAAATGTCTCTGGGCCTCCAACCTAGCACAGACAGGAGTTAAGCTGAAAAAGCTACTCAAGTATAAACATGGGCCATTTTTTAGGGAAAAGAAAGGATGACTCAGAAGGTCAGAGGACAGACACAAGGATCAAGAAGACAATGGACAGAGCTGCGTTCTAACCAAAAACCATCCTCTGCCCCTGGAGTAGGAAGCCCTAATAATATCTGCTCAGATAGATTTCAGAATTTCTATAGACCAGTGATTTCTATGTGCCCTCAATTACCACCCACACCTCTTTTGATTGGGAGCATCTATTGCAATTTTCGTATCCCTGCCTTATCTTGGTATGTTTGGTGTTGAGATGGGGATAATAAAACTTGTCTATTTAGTTTGTAGGTCTTCAGATGAGAAGGAACTATACCTGAGGAGCCCCATTCACATCTAGACATGATTTAAGATGACAAGACCCAAGACTTTGAGTTGATTGCTATAAAGAGATGAGACTTTGGAGGGGGAGAACATGAAAGTATTGTATACATGGCAAGAATTTTGTGGCCAGAGGGAAGACTGTGGTAGATTGTTTTTAAAAGATGGCTACCAGCAATTTCTCACAAATGTTTACATATATTCTATTCCTTTACCAAACTAGACCTGAGCTTTAGGTCCATCCCTGGAATTAGGTTAGTGGTGTCAACATCACCTAACCATTTGAATTAATAATGGAGTATGGATGTTTTCCAAGAGAGGATTAGGGGTTCTATTAAATGCAAATAAGTATAACAATCTCTTAAGCAAAGTCAATCATCTTTTTCCATCTTTGGTACTACATTCTTCATCCAGAGTTCCTCCTTCTTTGGAACTGGAAACCATATTTAAATGCTACATGGCCTACACAACTTTTGTTTCTGGATCTGCACTGAAGTGGGAGGATCTTAGACGAGTTGCGGTAAGAACTAGTTCTTTTATTTTTTTTTCTCCTTGTAGTTACTCTAAGCTGTAGGAATTAAGATGATAAGATATATTGCTCTTTCAAAAGCATTACTCCAGACCCTTAAATTGGACAAAATATGACTTCTTCAATTTTAAGAAGTAATCCTAAAGGAAATTGTAGTCATTGACCTTCAAATCCTCTTTGACTTATATCCAGCAGACCTCACTGTTTACCTACACTTATATTTAAATTACTTATTTCACTAAATTCCCTATCTAGAGCAGTTTTATTTTAACAGTCTGAGATCTGAAAAAATTATGGATATCAAAAGCATGTTTGATCTTACCATCAAAATAGTGTTCTTACCAGAGGACAGGTTTACCAACTTCTAAACACACTGATATACCTTCTGATAGGAGAAACCTGACGTAAAATAGCAGAGAACCCATTAAGGTTGAGACTAAAACTAATGATTAGAGGCCAACCCTCCAGACAGCTTAAATTTAAGATCAAAGGCAGCTTCCTCTCATTTTGTAGGTTTCACAGAGTCCTATAAACTGAAAAACTTCACTTTTTTAAAGCAGAGATCTATAGAATTAACATAAAGCATTGAAGCAGAAAATGACAGACTCAGAATCTCTCTCCTATAGCTTGGTATTATAAGAGCCACTTCAATAATTTTCTAGAATCTTAAGATTCAGAATCCACAAACTTTGAATGACTACTTACTTTGAGTCAAGCAGACTTCCAGTGCCTTCATTCTTTGCTGTCCTGAAAGGGAAATAAATATACAGGCAATTACTTAAAAAGATGTTATTATTCATCGCTAGGTATAAATTGATGGTTTGGGTGGTAGGAAAAATAGAACTCTGCACTTTACCAATTTTAAAGCAATCTAGCATCTATTGGGTTGTCGGAAAAGTTATGACATATTT